ACCTGGGACACGTGGCGCCTCAGCTTGAGGTAACGCTAAGTTTACGTGTCTGTGACAATGACGCTGACCCTCACCCGCTCCCAAAGGATTTAGATGGTGAGTGTTCTAGGTGTTCGTTCATAGAAAATTTTGTCTGTGGTGGCTATGCCTAAGTATTAGATTGAGTTAGTTCTGTCATTGGCATAATGTTTGAGTCTTTGTTAGTTGGATTGTGTGGAGTTAGCTGTTGAACAAAAGCTTATTGCGTAAATGTAATTCTTTGATTTCTCAGACCTTCCCAGTGGGCAATGCTGTGTAGAGAAGGTTCTCCGTGCTTTTAATAATTTGGTTGCTAATGACACCCAGGATGATGCAGTGGCTCAAATTTTGAGCAATTCCTATATAATGCCTCGGGAAAGTTGCTTTTACATGGTATGTTAGAACCTGCATGGCTGTAGTTGGAATGTGTTTACTTTTCAAAGTTTGTATCTACTGGGGTTTCTTCTTTGGTTCATTTTATTTGTTGAGGTTTCTTAGTTTTTTAGTTGATTAAACTTTTGAATCTTGATCCAATTCTGTTGTATCTTACATTTATAATATTTATTTGTTTTCATATGTGGAAGTCTGATCTGGGACAGATTCGCAATCTAATTCCTGGTAATGGTTGCATATGAAACTCAATTTTATATTTCTTGTTACATGCCTTGGTATCACTTAGCAACTGTCTGGTTCATGATACCACAATGTCAGCGTTTACTTTTATGCCACAATCACCTTCATGAAAAAAGGGAACCCTTTCTAACAACGTGTCATTCTCTTTCTTTCTCGTGTCTTTGAATTAATGTTCAAAACTTCCGTGACATGGTAATGGAGTTATCTTGAATTTAATCTAATTATGCTAGATGGATGGAAGGTATTTCCGGTCTTCCTGTATGATCTTATAAATAAAATTATTTTTGCTGAAATTCTTTATGTGGCCTTTTTAAGGGTACCTTTTGTGTTAAGGTGGTCAAGTAGTGAGGGTATAATATGCAATTGCATGACCTTAACAGCCACAAACCAGTTTGTATCTTTTGTGTTAAGGTGGTCAAGTAATGAGGGTGTAATATTTAATTGCACTTTTGTTTGATTAAATTTGTGCAGCTCATGCTGATTCTGGCTTCAACCTCATAATGGTGGATCCACCTTGGGAAAATGCTAGTGCCCACCAAAAATCAAGGTATGTTAAAAGTCATACTATTTTTCATTGATGTAAACTTTTCGAATTTCCTTTATCATATGATGTCTCATTGAAGTAACTCATCCCTGCATCGACTAAGGATATACCATGCTTCTATTTGATCTTTATTGTTCAGATACATTTCTCTCTAATGAATCGACGAAGAGGGTTCTTTCTAGGAATTTGGGGGAGGGTCCATCATTGAATAATATATATATAATATAATATAAACAGAGATAGCTTTGTGACTCATTGTTGAACTCAATAACTGTTACTCATTTTAAATTGCTTCATAAAATGCAGCTTATTTAAGCGAACTTGATCGCAATGTCATTACTGTAGGTACCAAACCTTGCCCAACAGATATTTTTTATCCCTTCCTATAAAGCAACTCACTCACACTGAAGGAGCACTTGTAGCCTTATGGGTGACCAACAGAGAAAAGCTACGATGTTTCATTGAGGCAGAGCTTTTTCCTACCTGGGGAGTCAGCTATGCTGCTACTTTTTATTGGTTAAAGGTGACTTCTCAACTCAATTACTGTCCCTTTCCTTGGTAATTGGCATATAAGTTTATGGAGTCATTCCAAATGTCTGTTATTATTTGTTGTCAAATGCAGGTGAAAGAAAACGGATCCTTGATTTGTGATTTAGATCTCTTCCATCATAGGCCGTATGAATGCCTGATCTTGGGATATAGTCCTGGGAAGGTCAGATTTTGCAATGTTTATTTATTAAGCCCTCTAACTATTAGACACTCCCTTCTGTTCATAGCACTCAGTTGTGCTCTTTTTGCACCTTTCTAGGTAAATAATACTGATAATCTATCAGAGTTTAAACCTGTGAAGAATGATCGGGTGATTATGAGCATTCCTGGGGATTACTCAAGGAAACCCCAAATTGCAGGTATCCTTGTCTGTCTAATGTGGTGTTTTAAATTTCTAAACAATCAGTTGCACTGAAAGTTAGACATGATTCGAATGCATATTCATCTTCCTCATAATATTGGTCAGATTTATTACTGGAGCACGTTCCTGGACTCAAACCTCCTCGATGTATAGAGCTATTTGCTAGAGAGATTTTGGCAGGATGGGTTGCTTGGGGAAATGAACCCCTCTACTTTCAAGATTCTAAACATTTTGTTAAAAAGATGGTTCAATGATTCTTAAGGAAAAAAGATTCCATCCCTGGTGATGATCTATTCATTTTTTTTATCTTCAGCATATATTTTTACCATATTTATTTTGTGTGACTTGATCTCTTCTGGCTCTAACACTTTTTTTCGCCTTCTTTTCTATGGGTACGGTTAGAAACAAAGACATACTGAAGCTCTGCTTCGACTGTGAGAGATTGGTCTTAAACAATGGTAGGGAACGGGTTCTAATTTCTAAGATAATGTAATGCTTATTGATGGGATTTGGTTTAAAGAGTCCTAATTTAAACATTTCTGCACTATCAATAAGTTGTAGTTCAATGCAATTTCAATTTATTTATGTCATATGCAGCAGCCAGTGTTTTATAGTAATTTTGTCCATTCACTAGAGTGACAAATTTTGTGAAAATGTACAAATTATTTTCTTATCATGCTAGGGTTTGAAATTATCGTGCCTGCAATATGCTGTATGATTTAGTTAGATTCATCTAAATTGAGAAGGATAATAATACTTTAATAATATTATTTTTATAATATTTTAACATTATTTATGTGTTTTATTACGTGATTGGTGCAAAATTATTTCTATCCGTTAAAACGTTGTCAAATATCATTCTGCAATTGAGAACCATGACTTCTTGGCAGCTTTGACCCACACAAAGAGAATATGGAAAAAGAAAAGTTTTCAAACACTCCCAAAAAGAAGGTAAAGAAAAAGCTTTTCGCCGTTCTTGGTCCAAATCGATGACGACATTTGAAGGGTCATCAATTTGACTAATCATAATATCTCTCTTTCCATTCAAAGAATACCACAATTTAATATTCTTTTCATCTTATATTTAATGAGTTAAAACAAAAGCAAAAAAACAAAAAATTTGATTAACTAAAATCAAGTAAGATTTGGGATTCGATCTATATTTAAATTTAAATAAATAATGTAGTAGTTAACAATGTGCAGAGTATTAATTAAATAACTTGCTAATTTTAGCAAAAATAAGGTGAAGTAATGGCCATGATGTGAATTATTAAGTAGGGCCTGGCCTAGGTAAGGTGCCTGTAGGCTCTTAAAAATATTTATAATTATTTAACAGAATAATCGGTATTAAAGAGTAAACCAATTTATTTTGCACAAAAATAAGATTTTCATCATATCTATTATGACTATCTCTCTTTTCATATGAAATCTTTTCTATTTTTTCTTTTTTGTTTTCTTTTCCTTTTGTATTATTTAGAGCTATACTTTTTTTCCCCTCTCTTTGATGGAAAAAGAAGTTACACCTTGTTATCTAGAGCTGAAAACATATTTTAAAAAATTAATATGTTGAAAAGAAACATTATATTTCAATTATAATAATTATAGTAATATGTTTTACTAATTTTAAAATGCTTGATTTTACTTTTCATTTTAAGGCTAACTAAATAATGGGTTAACCCTGAGATTAAGTATGATTTTTCTATTCGTTTATTCCTTTTTAACCATATATATATTTGAACACTATTTTATATATTATTCTATTAGAATGAATTTTTCCATAAAATAAAATAGAATTATGCATTCTAGTTTCAGAGAATTCTTATTTTACACCTATTTTTTTTATTAATTTTGTTGTTAGTTTTCTACACCTAATGCTTTATGTTGCGTTTTGTTTGAGTAGAAAAAAACACTAGAGAAAAATAGAAATATACTGAAAAATGTGTTGCTTAAATTCACAAAGAAGAAAAGAAAAATAATTTTCTCTTATTTGGAAGGGTGAAAGGAGTGAGTAAATGGAAATAAATAATATAAAGACAAACTTATTTAATTTTACTTTGCTGAAGTAACAAGCAAGTAAGAAGTGACAGTAATCTGCACTCTGCAGAGTCCGAATACTTCCACTTTATCTGAAAAAGTCACAAAACAGAAGCTATATCCATTTTTTTATGAATTTTCTTTTCAAATTTTAATCATTTCTCGTACTCTGTCCATTTTAAAACTCCTCAAGGTAATTATTGAACAAAAGAATAGTTGAAAAATATTTTTAGTCTGAAATTAATATAATTAAATGTTATTGATATACATTTACAATATCTTTAATTAATTTACGCATAGTTTTATCAGTTTTTAAAGCTAAAGTAATACAATAATAGTAGTTGGTGTTAATAGTAAGTACATGCACTTATCCTTTTAATATCAATTATTGATTTAATTTTATAATATTCTTAAATGCAATAAAACAAAACAAAAAGAGTTTGATTTGCTTTTTTTTTTTCAAGTTAAAAAATAAAGAATTGTAATAATACATTTGGATTTAAATATAATTCCTTATTTTTCTTACACAGATGAATCATTGTGTTTTGAATCATTGATGATCTTCAGTTGTGGGTCCCACTCCCATTAATAATTAGCTTATCAGAGAAAGCAGTCCACATGGAATGCAATACGTCCACGCGTCACATCGCTGATTCCGCTCGGGCCCACTTCACAACCATCGGCAACGCCGAACAATCCCAACCGTTCAATCTCTCATCAAATATTAAATCTAACAAAGCTCGNTATATATAATATAATATAAACAGAGATAGCTTTGTGACTCATTGTTGAACTCAATAACTGTCACTCATTTTAAATTGCTTCATAAAATGCAGCTTATTTAAGCGAACTTGATCGCAATGTCATTACTGTAGGTACCAAACCTTGCCCAACAGATATTTTTTATCCCTTCCTATAAAGCAACTCACTCACACTGAAGGAGCACTTGTAGCCTTATGGGTGACCAACAGAGAAAAGCTACGATGTTTCATTGAGGCAGAGCTTTTTCCTACCTGGGGAGTCAGCTACGCTGCTACTTTTTATTGGTTAAAGGTGACTTCTCAACTCAATTACTGTCCCTTTCCTTGGTAATTGGCATATAAGTTTATGGAGTCATTCCAAATGTCTGTTATTATTTGTTGTCAAATGCAGGTGAAAGAAAACGGATCCTTGATTTGTGATTTAGATCTCTTCCATCATAGGCCGTATGAATGCCTGATCTTGGGATATAGTCCTGGGAAGGTCAGATTTTGCAATGTTTATTTATTAAGCCTTCTAACTATTAGACACTCCCTTCTGTTCATAGCACTCAGTTGTGCTCTTTTTGCACCTTTCTAGGTAAATAATACTGATAATCTATCAGAGTTTCAACCTGTGAAGAATGATCGGGTGATTATGAGCATTCCTGGGGATTACTCAAGGAAACCCCAAATTGCAGGTATCCTTGTCTGTCTAATGTGGTGTTTTAAATTTCTAAACAATCAGTTGCACTGAAAGTTAGACATGATTCGAATGCATATTCATCTTCCTCATAATATTGGTCAGATTTATTACTGGAGCACGTTCCTGGACTCAAACCTCCTCGATGTATAGAGCTATTTGCTAGAGAGATTTTGGCAGGATGGGTTGCTTGGGGAAATGAACCCCTCTACTTTCAAGATTCTAAACATTTTGTAAAAAAGATGGTTCAATGATTCTTAAGGAAAAAAGATTCCATCCCTGGTGATGATCTATTCATTTTTTTTATCTTCAGCATATATTTTTACCATATTTATTTTGTGTGACTTGATCTCTTCTGGCTCTAACACTTTTTTTCGCCTTCTTTTCTATGGGTACGGTTAGAAACAAAGACATACTGAAGCTCTGCTTCGACTGTGAGAGATTGGTCTTAAACAATGGTAGGGAACGGGTTCTAATTTCTAAGATAATGTAATGCTTATTGATGGGATTTTGTTTAAAGAGTCCTAATTTAAACATTTCTGCACTATCAATAAGTTGTAGTTCAATGCAATTTCAATTTATTTATGTCATATGCAGCAGCCAGTGTTTTATAGTAATTTTGTCCATTCACTAGAGTGACAAATTTTGTGAAAATGTACAAATTATTTTCTTATCATGCTAGGGTTTGAAATTATCGTGCCTGCAATATGCTGTATGATTTAGTTAGATTCATCTAAATTGAGAAGGATAATAATACTTTAATAATATTATTTTTATAATATTTTAACATTATTTATGTGTTTTATTACGTGATTGGTGCAAAATTATTTCTATCCGTTAAAACGTTGTCAAATATCATTCTGCAATTGAGAACCATGACTTCTTGGCAGCTTTGACCCACACAAAGAGAATATGGAAAAAGAAAAGTTTTCAAACACTCCCAAAAAGAAGGTAAAGAAAAAGCTTTTCGCCGTTCTTGGTCCAAATCGATGACGACATTTGAAGGGTCATCAATTTGACTAATCATAATATCTCTCTTTCCATTCAAAGAATACCACAATTTAATATTCTTTTCATCTTATATTTAATGAGTTAAAACAAAAGCAAAAAAACAAAAAATTTGATTAACTAAAATCAAGTAAGATTTGGGATTCGATCTATATTTAAATTTAAATAAATAATGTAGTAGTTAACAATGTGCAGAGTATTAATTAAATAACTTGCTAATTTTAGCAAAAATAAGGTGAAGTAATGGCCATGATGTGAATTATTAAGTAGGGCCTGGCCTAGGTAAGGTGCCTGTAGGCTCTTAAAAATATTTATAATTATTTAACAGAATAATCGGTATTAAAGAGTAAACCAATTTATTTTGCACAAAAATAAGATTTTCATCATATCTATTATGACTATCTCTCTTTTCATATGAAATCTTTTCTATTTTTTCTTTTTTGTTTTCTTTTCCTTTTGTATTATTTAGAGCTATACTTTTTTTCCCCTCTCTTTGATGGAAAAAGAACTTACACCTTGTTATCTAGAGCTGAAAACATATTTTAAAAAATTAATATGTTGAAAAGAAACATTATATTTCAATTATAATAATTATAGTAATATGTTTTACTAATTTTAAAATGCTTGATTTTACTTTTCATTTTAAGGCTAACTAAATAATGGGTTAACCCTGAGATTAAGTATGATTTTTCTATTCGTTTATTCCTTTTTAACCATATATATATTTGAACACTATTTTATATATTATTCTATTAGAATGAATTTTTCCATAAAATAAAATAGAATTATGCATTCTAGTTTCAGAGAATTCTTATTTTACACCTATTTTTTTTATTAATTTTGTTGTTAGTTTTCTACACCTAATGCTTTATGTTGCGTTTTGTTTGAGTAGAAAAAAACACTAGAGAAAAATAGAAATATACTGAAAAATGTGTTGCTTAAATTCACAAAGAAGAAAAGAAAAATAATTTTCTCTTATTTGGAAGGGTGAAAGGAGTGAGTAAATGGAAATAAATAATATAAAGACAAACTTATTTAATTTTACTTTGCTGAAGTAACAAGCAAGTAAGAAGTGACAGTAATCTGCACTCTGCAGAGTCCGAATACTTCCACTTTATCTGAAAAAGTCACAAAACAGAAGCTATATCCATTTTTTTATGAATTTTCTTTTCAAATTTTAATCATTTCTCGTACTCTGTCCATTTTAAAACTCCTCAAGGTAATTATTGAACAAAAGAATAGTTGAAAAATATTTTTAGTCTGAAATTAATATAATTAAATGTTATTGATATACATTTACAATATCTTTAATTAATTTACGCATAGTTTTATCAGTTTTTAAAGCTAAAGTAATACAATAATAGTAGTTGGTGTTAATAGTAAGTACATGCACTTATCCTTTTAATATCAATTATTGATTTAATTTTATAATATTCTTAAATGCAATAAAACAAAACAAAAAGAGTTTGATTTGCTTTTTTTTTTTCAAGTTAAAAAATAAAGAATTGTAATAATACATTTGGATTTAAATATAATTCCTTATTTTTCTTACACAGATGAATCATTGTGTTTTGAATCATTGATGATCTTCAGTTGTGGGTCCCACTCCCATTAATAATTAGCTTATCAGAGAAAGCAGTCCACATGGAATGCAATACGTCCACGCGTCACATCGCTGATTCCGCTCGGGCCCACTTCACAACCATCGGCATCGCCGAACAATCCCAACCGTTCAATCTCTCATCAAATATTAAATCTAACAAAGCTCGTACATCTAACCCACAATCTTCACTGAGCCTTTTCCGCACTGGAACATTTTCCCCGCCTGAAATTATCTTTATCAGATTCTTCGTTCTTTCACGCATCCAGCGAAGACAATTGGAGAAAAGCGCGATCCTCGTGACTCGTGAACTCGTTACGTTACACTCCAATCGGGTTTAAATACCCTGCGACGCGCAAACGCTAGTCACCATCGCCGGCAAATGACATCCGACGGAGCTACTTCGGCTGCGGCGGCGGCGGCGGCGAGTAGGAGAAAGCCGTCGTGGAGGGAGAGAGAGAATAACCGTAGGAGAGAACGAAGGCGACGAGCGATCGCGGCGAAAATATACTCTGGACTTCGAGCTCAGGGGAACTATAACTTGCCGAAGCACTGTGACAACAACGAAGTTCTCAAAGCGCTTTGTGCAGAAGCTGGTTGGTGCGTCGAAGAAGACGGAACCACATATCGCAAGGTAATAATTCAAATCGAAACCAATCACGTACATTTTACCTGTTACAGCGTTACCGGATCTTACTTTTGAATCTCAATCAAACGATCGTTTAAATTTCCGTCCATGCTGCATTGCGAATTTGTAATCAAGAAGTGGAAGCGACGAAGTACAATTACTTATCGTTCTGGTTAAACGGAGATTTCTAACTTAATTGTCGGATGTTCTGATCCTTAATACTACTGCGTAAATGCGGAAAATTTTATAAGGAGTGATAAGTCTCGGCTTGTTGATGTACTAAAACTGATCGAACTTTGATGCTCTAGTTGTGTGTAAGATGTTGGAATTAGCAGTAGCTAACTTAATTGTGAATGGAAAAAAATGAATTGTGTGTGCACAGATATTAATGTATGATTTTTTTCATCTCCTGAGATTACTGGAGTTTTGTTCACTTTAGTTTCTTATTATTTATATCTATTTTAATTTATTTGAGATGAAAAATATTCTTTGCAATCTCTGTCATGATGTTGGAAAAATAGTTGAAACTTGTAAAATGTTTCTTTTTATCTGAAGAATAACTTATTATTTTAAGATAAAAATAATTTATTTTTATAATTATGAAAACTTGTTATTTATAATAATTTTTTCAAATGTAATTCACCCCTATAAATGCTTTCCTCTTATGTAACAAGTGATAGCTCCCAGAGAAAATTAATTATCTTTAAGTTAAAATCATTTTTCGGTAATTTTAAAAAAACTTATTCTAAATATTATTGAAATAAATTTATTTCTGCTTCGATTTCATACACACCCGGTGTCAATGTGATTTTTTCATCAACAGCTTAGACTTGTAGAGTTTCTCACTTTGAACACTAAGTTGTTGGTGTTAATCTGAACAATTTGTGACAGAATGATATGAACTTATGATTTTCTCTTCACTCTGCAAACTCTTAATTGTTGGTGTTAATGAGATTGATTTGCAATGATAACGTAGTTTGTGTTTTGGGTGAACAGGGTTCCAAACCACCTCTGGCCAATGGTGCAGGGAGCTCCATGAGAAACATTTTCTTTTCTTCTTCACAGAATCCAAGTCCGTTTTCTTCGTCGCATCCCAGTCCAATTCCTTCATACCAAGTGAGTCCTTCTTCCTCCTCTTTCCCAAGCCCGTTTCGGTTAGATGTGGATAAGGACAATGTATCAAACCTCATTCCATACATTCGCAATGCCTCTCTGTCTCTTCCTCCTCTGAGGATATCAAACAGTGCCCCTGTGACGCCGCCTCTGTCATCACCTACGTCAAGAAATCCAAAACCAATTCCTACATGGGAGTCCATTGCCAAAGAATCTATGACCTCCTTCAACTACCCTCTCTTTGCAGCTTCTGCTCCTGCTAGCCCCACGCACCGTCACCTTTACACCCCTGCCACTATTCCAGAGTGTGACGAGTCTGATACTTCCACCTGTGAATCTATCCAGTGGGTGAAATTTCAAGCATTTGCTCCTTCTGCATCTGTGTTTCCAACTTCTCCAACCTTCAATCTTGTTAAACCTGTGGTTCCTCCCGGTGTGCCTGATAACTCAATCCAAGAGATGAGGACGATTTCAGAAGAGATTGGAGTACAGGTAATGCCTTGGGTTGGTGAAAGAATTCATGAAGTGGCATTGGATGATTTGGAACTCACTCTTGGAAGCGGGAAGGTGCGGAGTTAGGCTGCTAGCAGAATTATCTCATATGGGTTAAGTGAAAATGAGATCACAGGAGTTTTTTGCTGGTTGGTTATTGCTCAACCTGGTGTTAGAGATGGAGTTAATAGCTACCTCATCCAGAGTCGTTGGTGCAAGCAGTTTATCGGGAAGAGACTGGAGTTATTATTGGGAACTGGATTTATCTGATGCTGTGGGCATTTTATGGAGAAAATGATCTCCTTCCATCCATGGCTTGGGTAAAATGTAGAAATGAGAATTTCACCTCCTCCCTTCGTGGTTAAATCAGCTATTGTTCAAAAAGGCTCATCAAGCCTATGTGCTAAGTGTTAGGTGCTGTGGGTGATTTGAAATTGAAATTTCAGGTTTTATCAAGTTTATTGTCTGTCAAAAGCTCACAAGACCTGCTTATTTGTAATGTTACATTTAAATTTTGTTGTTCTTCTTTATGTTCTTGTTGTTCTTTGTATCAAATAGTTTGTATGTTATTTTTATTTTTGCCGACAGGTTTTGTAGTTAGTGCAAAGTCAACAATTGGCTCTATCGTCCTTCTACCTTATTGACCCCTTTGATAAGTTCATGAGCTCAAAGCGGCATGAACTATGGTATTCAATATGGAATTGACACTAGTCTATGCTAATGAAGTCATGTGGTACTTTGGGGTGTTGTTCCCTGGTTAGCGGATTGTATAATATGTGATGAGTTGTGCAGGAGATGTCTTTGGAAAGAAAGGCAAAGTTCCATTAATGTGCCTTGGGTTTGCTGTAATATTCTCCTTCTGATTTTTCAATTCAGAATGTTCCTAATGTAGTCTTGG